TTTTTTACCGTTGACCCAGCAAACACCCGGCGGGGACATAGTAAGAAAATCTTCAGGCTCAGGGCACACACATCCGTTAGACAAAACTTTTTTCATTTCGGGTAGTAGCTGCGTGGAATGCCCTTCCTCCGACGGTTGTACACGCTCCTTCTCGAACCCAATTTAAAGCACTATTAGACATTTATTTATGCAAATCCTCGCGCTGGCAAGCATACCGCCCTGCGCTGAGGACATGAAGAGCAGTGCTACACCCTTTTTTCACTTGTGCCTTTCAGGTGAACGACAGCCACTGACCGACAAGAACAAAACCGAACCGGGAAACTTGGACAAAGGCTTCGATCCTGTGTGTCAATCCGTGGATCCGTGACACAGGTCCATCGTATAGCGCGCCGACGGTAACAGTTGAAGGATAGTTTAAGGAGTTCCACTCTCGAAGAAAAAAATACAGACGGCGTCAGTTTAGAGCGGAAGATAGATTTTGGACCGTTCCAATCGCTCACACTCATTCACCCAAGTGTGTGAATTACACCCTTGTTTTAATGAATCTTCCTGCACACTCCTTGGCTGGGCGCGTGGCGTACCCCGGCTCGAAGGCCGGCGTTTGAGTTTCGTTGTCGGCCGTTCTCGGTCGCATCCGACCATGCAAACCTGTGCAGTTGTTTGTACTGAACAACCGACAAGTTCTAAAGTGGTGGATGACGAAAACTTTCCTGTTTTGACGAAACTCGAGGCAAACGCTTGCGAAGCCAAGCCGTTTAGCCCCTTGCCGGCATATCACCCTGCTAAGGTTACAGAAGTAAGTTTTTTCTGTCCAAATTGCGATTTGCTAGGTTATCGAAATTCCCAATGATCAGCGGAGGTACCAGAATGAGGATCCAAACGCTGCTGGGAAGCGCTTTGATGCACACAAGCGAAAATGTATGGAAATCATAAGGGAAACCGGAGTCGAAATGAACATGACCAATTCTAAATCGAACATGCTTACAATAGTTCTCTCAGGCCATCCTGTCAAGGTTTCTCAGGCCAAGCGGGGCATTCTGGCCGAACTACAACAACAGGTTAGTGTCCGTCTCGTTTGTCGGCTTCTGAAATTTCATGGTCCTTGGTTGTACGGACGCTGTAGCGTCAGGTCCCGGGACAGCAACGTACCAGGCTGATCTTTTTTCTATCAGAAGATCTGTGGATGATATCAACAGCACCACTGGACTCCACCAAGTGGACACCATTTAACATATATTAATGGTCATCTGGGGCAACATGTCATTGTTAAACAAGGATGCTTGACTGCCTTGCTTTAGTTGGAGTAGCATCAGACAAGCTGTATATTGCACGGGCGTCTTTTACCGGTGCCTTTTTTTCAAATTCTTTTTAAGGAAACAGTCAGAATTCCCGTCCCGCATGAGTTTCATGGCTATCTGATCGGTAGGCGTGGAGATAGGTTGCGAGAACTTCAGGCCCACACTATGACACGCATCAGCGTTCCTCCAGCCAACTCAACAGATCCAGACAGTATTACTGTTACCGGTTCGAAACAGGGGATCGCAGAGGCCAAACGGATCATTACTGAAACCATCGAACGACAGTCGCAGCAAGGATTCGAACGTTTGGATATACCGAAGATATATCATCCATTCCTTCTGGGACCGTAAGTACTTTCCACTCGAAAGTTTTACTGATTTGTTGGCTACCCTCGAGCTGTTGATAGCAGTGCACCTACAAACCGGTTTTCCCGCCGATGATGTGAATGATCGGCTATCACTTCTCATACTTCAGTCCCTACGGACTGGACTTTATTGTTGGACGATTATTCTAGAATCAATGTTTGACCGGACTACCTTGATTGGTAGTCCTGCGGCACCCACAGAACCCCACCCTTAGACTTCACCCAAATGTATGAGTTCCTTTGATGACTCGCAGCTCATTATTGACTACACCGTGGAACAAAGTGCCTGTTTTTAGGAGGATAGTTAACCGGAGAGGGTTTCTGTCTTCCAAGAAGGGGTACCATCGTGTTAGGGGCGGGATGGCTCAGTGGTTGTAGCGCGAATCTACTGACCGGAAGGCCCGTGGTTCGAACCCGACCTCTGCATCTCGACTTCCCCCCTGGTGGTATCCCGGCCCCTTCCTTCGGGTGGCGTGGTAGTTGGGAACTCAAAGGGTGCTACAGCTGGGCGAATTTTTGTACTGGGGTTCGCATCGTTGTCTTTCAGAATAGTAGAGTCAGTCAATTCCAAATAGATTAGACCTCATATTCTTGGTTGTGTAGAGAAATTCAGGCGTATATTAAATCCATAAAAAAGACCTGAAACAACGCTCAGTGCATCATGGTTTAGGTTTTCGGGACCGAGACCCCGAGTGAGATTTAGTGTTTGTGCACAACGCGTGTAGCATGCGAAAGCCCCTTACTGATGGGTTTCGATTCTGCTAGCTTCCGTTGCCAACAGTAGCTCTCCCTGTTTTTAGCCAACAGCTGTGTGCACGTTTCTGGTCATGTACCCCTAAGGGCAATGGTGATCCATGCGTACATCCACGCACGTACATCGTCAGCAGACCATCTTTTTAAGCTTCCATGCTAGTTGCTACCGGAACTCACAAGTGGTGCATCGCAGCACGTTTTAGTTCAGGCTCGGTCCCGTAATGTATGTGGGTCGAAGATGCCGATTGCTCGGGTCACTCTAAGCAGTTAACCATGCGGTTAGATTGTCCGGGTCCATTACCGTCAAAGGCGGATAACCAAAATTCTGAAACTTTTACACTATGTACATATTAGCAAAACCAGAAGTGACGATTGATTCATTCAAACTTCCGGTTTCCTGCAGTATATCATCCTGGTTGATTGAATGCACACTCAAGTTCAAGGTCTGCTCAACGGTAAATACCTCTGGGTTAAATGGATGATGTTGACTGCCGTCCATTTGGTGCGATTGGGAACTCAGCACCATATTTGTAGATATTTTCCATATCTTAACATTCGCGGCCTTCGAAAATGTACCACTGAAGTAGCTTTTAGTTGCTATCCAAACATTTTGGGGTTCAGAAAACGACTAACAATACGAACTCTATTTGAGCAAATTTGACCCATCATTCGCTTACTGAAGCTGACCGCTTCTCAGCACCTTTTACAAGTTATCCTTTATTGATATCAGAATTTATTTGTAGGTTCATAGGTCAGCTATGAAGTTTGGTTGTTCCATGAGAAGGGTTTTTTTAAAGCCATCAATGTAGATGTATTTGGCTCTCTTTATCAATGGCATCACAGTTTCGTACGATTAACCTCATCAGTGGGCTGACTCATTCTATCTTGCACACATTTCCGCATGTCCGTCACAGTGGATCCAAATAACCTGGTCTCCACTCCTCTCATGCATGCCAAATCAAATGCTGTTCGGGGAATCTGATGTCAACGTGACATGCCCACGACACTGCATACATAATTGGTTTTCTAGTCTTTGTCCACAGTACGTCTGTTCATTCACTTTTCTGGCATACCTACATGGCTCCGTTTTGTTGTGATGCCTCTGTGAGTAAGAGTGGTGTCGTTCCAGTTTAAAGGTGCCCCTTTTCTCCAACAAGAGGGTCAGGTGATCCATGGATGTTTGAACTTGTTCAATCGTTCATTCTGTCTATTGAACTTCACTATTTTTGTTGGGCTATAGTGTCTGGTAAGATTTTTTCCTTGGGTGACTTTCGGCTCAATTTACTACTTTTCGGGTTGCTCGTGTCCAGTACGTTACCGAACGTTCGGCAACTCAGTTGACGTGCGATACCATGATCTTGCTTACAGCCCTCAGTTTCCCGAACTGTGTTGTTTCAGTTGTCAGGACTGGTGCGAATTATTTGCAATTAACCCAACATCGCTAAACCTTCGTATCCATTGTAATAATTGCGGCTTATTACATCCAATTTGCTTCAAGTAGGCCGTTTGCAATCAGTTCTGCTGCATATAGCGTTTTTCTCGTTTACAGTTGCATTCTATTGTCGTTTGACTGTCTTGTTTGTGTGCAGTGGTGCTGCATACCTGCTACGTTGTCGTTTGGTTTCCGAATGAGCAACTCACCTGGTATGCTAAATAATACACTGGCACAGCCCCCGCTGGTTATCCCAAGCCATCGGGTTTGACACCCAGTGACAGCCTTCCCGTACGGGTCAGCCGCTTGCCACCACCTTAGCACGCTTGCTGCAAAATCGATGAGGCCTTACAGATGTCATGGTAGGGCATCTTTCTTGGAGCACCGGGCAAATGTTAATGTATTTTGTAGTGCCACTTGCCTTGTCCCACTTGGTCCGGTCGAGGTAGCTCAAGCACTGAGGTACCAGTCATTGGTCTTAAAGGGCTTTGAGCTGTCACTCCCGATGCGCAGTTTCCTCATATCACCCCACTTTTCGTCACTGAAAGAACGGTGGCCGGTAGAGGCACTGTGCCGTTGACAACTGACGGTAATAGTTTGCTTCCAACCTGTTGGATTTCACGCTCCTGCCTTACAATGACACCATCCGCAGACGGCGACGACCACTTTCGACCGGACTAAATAGCTGGTTTTACCTTCGCAAACTGACAGTCCCTTATCTGGCACTATCCCGGCCCTCTTACCTCCTTCGGGTGGCATGGCAGTTAGGCACCGAAAGGGTGCTGCAGCTGAATGATTCTTTGCAAGTGTCATTGATATTCTCCATGCTTTATTCCAACTTCCAAACCTCTGCATCACGCATGCAAATGAATCTTTTTCAGCTCTGACAACCCGTGAGTTGATAGCTGCCATGCCACCCGAAGGAAGCACAAGGGTTGAGGTATTGCCAATTGGCCCAATCCCAGACGCGAGCGATCGGAATTTTCGGGTTGGGTTCGAATCACGAACCTCCCGGTCAATGTGTTCGTACCTTGATTACTGTGCTGTTATTCGTATGCGTAGTCTGTCCATTCCTCAACGTTCAGTTTTGTTTTGTATTCGTCAGACTTGACAACAATGGTTGCGTTCCATGTAAACCGTTTTATTCCCCACAGAAATGGTCAATTGCTTGATAATCTGAGACAACGGACGCTCACAAAAATCAATTTCCCTCCTCCGAATATTCCGGCTAACATCATAACTGTATCCGGCAAGCGTGAAGGTGTGTTGCAGGCGTCCGAAGAAATGCGTGCAATATATGAGCAGGTCAGTCGTACTCTCCAAGTACCAATATAATGGCGTTTTTCTTTCATCCCGTGCGATTATCCGATGCAGCATGCTTATAATTCCTATGACACTTTCGCTTATCCGTTCCGTATTCCACTTGACAACTTCATGAAAAGCATTTGTGCGGAATCACCGGTCATGTCTCATGTTTTTCACTGGAGGCTTTGTCCCTTAGGTGCAGCCCATCTTTGCCGAAAAGCCTTAAAGCCAAGACCTTGTTGTGCTGCCACACATACGTTATACAGTTTAGAGTCGCTACTTATCCCCGGCATGACAAACAAACCTTTTTCTCCTGCCTCTGGTCATCAACGTTGCGGCCTAAAGAACATTGTCGGAAGTTTTCGGTGGATGTCCTGGTGTCCGGCTCGGTTTAAATACCCCATTACTAAGCTTCCTGGCGCCAAGGTTCGGATCTGCCAGTTTTTTGCTGGGCGCCGCTGCAGTGGTTCAACGCTCGATCCATGCACGTCGGAGATCGCAATTCCGCTCTTGGCGTATTCGGTTTCTCTGGATGTTCTGGCGTGACGAACTTCGTAACGAAGGCATTTCCGTAACATATGGGAGAACCGACAATCATCCAGCAGGGGAAATAGTTTGTGCCTTCCGCAAACATCATCTGGAACGCAGTCACTGTGGATGTTGGTAATATCGTCACAGCCTTCAGACTCGCCCAATACGATAGGAACTGGAGTCGATAATTTGACTCCGCACATTGCTCATAGTGTAGGATGCTCGACAGTACAATGGATTGATATCTTCCCCGTGATTGAAAACTCATGATATACTATCCTGTTCTGGAAAGGAGAACCATCCGAAAGTATAGAGTGCAAGTGTAGTGGGGTCTTTTTGAAGAACATTGACTTCTCGGGCCGTCAGGGTTGTCCCGTACTTCCAGGAATAGCTGCACTCCATTAGATGTGTTTCGATAAATGTCTTAAAAATCAGGTAGATAATGCGTAGTCTTGACCTTAAATAGGAAGCATGTCTGCCTCCGTTCACAGATGGTTAAATCGAGGAGATTAATTTCCACTTGTGCCCCGCCTTCACAATTTTGTCAAAATACCACATTTCAACAGTGTCTCCATCAACATTATCTCATTTACATCTAATCTGTTGACTTAGAGTGAATACAGAATGATTATAATGTCCTCTTGTGTGAGGAGCTTTTGGTTTTGTGTGCTTCGTTCGGTCCAGTGGTGTACCCTTAGTTTCTGTAGAAGTCATAAAGTAATCCAATCGTCCTAAAGTTTAGAGCGTTTCCTACATAGGGGTTCTAATTTAGCCCCACTCTGGGTATTTTTGGAGTGCTAGTGGTGCCTTTGTTTCGTAGATCGCTTATCACTACTAAGTTCTTGTGATATTGGTCTTTTTGGGTCTTTTGCTTCCTAGGTCGGGTGCAAACTTTTTACCCTCCAACTACCAGTCGGACCATAGAGCCACTAGAATGTTGTTTTGCACGTATGACCGACCGTGTGACCTGATCGTATGCTCTTGCTTTGTTGCCCTCCAGGTGAAATTATACAAAACTATCCCGGTGCGCGTTAAAAGATCTCAGCATCGGCTAGTGTTTGGTCCGCGTGGATCAGGTCTGGCAGATATTTTGGCCCAAACCGGGGTATCGGTGGAACTCCCCACAGACGACACTAGTGAGGAGCTAATACTCCGCGGTAGACCAGAAGACCTAAGAAGAGCGTTATGTATGGTGTACGAACTGGCCAAGATTTCCCTTACAGAAGAAATCTCCGCATCCACCCGGTTTTAAAAACCTCTCATCGGGAATCGTAGCAGTTCCCTGGCAGAGCCCGCAAAGGTTACAAAGGGGTTCATTTCAAATTCCGTGATAACTAGGATAAGATTATTGTCAATGGTTCTCCAGAAGAAGTCAGTGTCATCGCCAGGCGACTCAAGGCCCGGATAGCGGAGCTTGNGGAACTCCCCACAGACGACACTAGTGAGGAGCTAATACTCCGCGGTAGACCAGAAGACTTAGGAAGAGCGTTATCCATGGTGTACGAACGGGCCGAGAGTTCCATTACAGAAGAAATCCCCGCATCCAACCGGTTTCACAAACTTCTCATCGGGAAGCGTGGCAGTGCCCTGGCAGAGCTTCGCGAAGGGTACGAAAGGGTATGTCCTCTAACCTGTAACGTCCTCGGCTATGCACTACTCCCGAGAAACCAAGTTGCCTGATTTCACTCGTCTGTACTTCAGGTTCATGTCGAATTCCGTGATAACCAGGATAAGATTACTGTCGAGGGTCCCCCCGAAGAAGTCGGTGTCATTGTCGAGCGACTCAAGGCCCGGATAGCGGAGCTTGAGGCTACTGTGGCCATGGATACTTTGCGAGTGGATCCTAAATATTTCCGACACATCATTGGTCGACAGGGCGCGACTATCTTACGCCTAAGGGAACACAAAGTCCAAATCCGTCTTCCGACTTTGGAGCGTGGTGACAACCTGGCTGCAGATCAAATCGTCATTGAGGGCGACCCTGTCGGTGTGGAAAAAGCCAAAGCGGAAATACGTCAGTTGGTAGAAAGGCTCGTGAGTTTTCCTTTTTTATTCCATTTTCATGCAGACCCAATAGGCAAGTGTGGTTTGTGAACAATGTGTGCCTTATTATGGTTGTATGTTTGTTGGTATACTTCCAGGACACTTGAAGCTAGACACCGAGAATGAGAACTATCACTTTAAGCCTTTGTTCCAAAGGCCTAAGGAGCGGTGGTTTGCGTGAGCCTCTACTCATTTCTGGGAGAGATTGTTCCTCATTTGTCATTCATGGGTAAACATGGAGAATGATCAGTCGTGCTTCAGTTAAAGTTAGTGTTACTCCTGTTAGGTAGACTCTTTAGGACTGACTCAGTGTACGGAGACACTTGTCAGCACCACTGGGTCGTCGTATGCTGTAATCACAAAACCTTTCTGTCTACCCTAGCAAAATATTTCCACTTCCAACTTCACTCACCCACTTGACAGTTATATTTCTCCTACTTCAGTGCAGTCTATATTTTGATCATGGCCATAGTCCAAATTGAGACGAAATAATAGGATAAGCTACAGGCTTGCAAAGCTGTACTCATTTCGTACTTCACGAGCGCCTTAAAAAGCTAATGGCAATGAACTAGCAATCATCGTATTCTTCATCTTGTCTTCTTTGCTCTGAACTATCTTTCTAACGTCCGCCTCCTGATATGGATATGAGGTTAGTCCCCACAGTTGATCCTGGATTTATTTCCAGTCGACAATGCCGCCCACCGGATTAGATAGCTTTGTAATTCCGCTTACTTGCTCAATTTCAGGAAAACGAAAAGTGTAAGGACATGATTATCGAACCACGTGTTCAACAGCTGCTCTGTACCGGTTATAAGGGCGCACCACCCCCAATCCGAACTATATACGACGGTTTTCCGAAAGTTAGTTTCGTTTGGCCCGATTTTCACCAGTCTGATGAAACTGTCGGGTCTGTGAACAACGACAATCCCTCAAAAAGCGTCGTACAACTCCGTGGGGACCGACAGCAAGTTGATGCAGCAGCTGAACGTTTGGTGAAGCTTATAAAACAAGTTATTGAAGAAAATTATCGTCAGGAGGTAAGCAGTTAGCCTTATTCGATTATTGTTTGTATTGGTTTCTTCCGGTACGTGACCGTTTCAATACTCCTTTTAGATTCGACTTTTCAAAGAGTTCCGTCCTCATATTTTCGGCCGTGGCTCATCTAGATTACAGAGGCTATTGGACGACACTAAGACGCGCATCCAGTATCCCAATCCTTCGGACGGCTCCGACGTTTTTACCATCATTGGTCGCGAAGAAAACGTGCAGCAAGCGATTAAGCAACTTGAAGACTTACAAAAGCAGCTGGTAAGTATTAAAGTGTTGGACACAGAATTTCAGCTTTATGAGTCTAGCCATGAGAACTAAACAGTGGGGAAAACTCACTTGTTCGAAAGCACTGCACCGTATTTATTTTTGTGTCCGTTCACTGCAATGAAATTAAGCTGCGTGTTAGTACTCGGAAACCCAGCATCAGATGAATTTGTTCGCATTCTCAAATTTATATGCAATTCTGCCTTGTTCCTTGAGATTTCTGCGTCCGTTGTGGCTTATATCTCTGGTATCCACGAAACTACATGGACACGAATAGTGCTCCTCATATCCGCCATTCCTACCTTGGGCAATGATCTCCCGAGTTTCGGAATTTCCTATATTCCTCCACACATTGGAGCCCCATCAATAGCTTCTTTCATTGGAATCCGTCCCGTCATTTCTACATGCCAAAAGCCGTTTCCCCTTTTCCATTATCCTGTCAACGATCGTTCTTAACCCAATCTATTGCCTGCAGACAAGGTTCACTAAGGGATCCAGTAATTTGGCATCCCTAGAAGTTGTCAGTAATACGACAGGAAAGTTGTCCTGTACTGAATACTGGAAAATGTTAGTTGCTCTCGTGTCCCCCCAACCTTCGTGGGTTCTGTTTCGTAAACATCATTCGCCAAACGCGGTTAGCCTGTTCTTATCTTGTTCTCGAATGGTTCGTGTTTCACACATATTTTTATAGAGATACAGCATGCACTTTGAAACCAACCAAGCTGTCCCTTAATATTTGTGAATTTCTCAGCCATCTCAAACGCTGCTCTACTGAGAGAAAGATGCGTAAGAATCATGAGCTCAGTAACATTTTGTGCCTCATTCTACCAACCAATGCTATTCCTGGGTGTTCTAGCGTCCCCTGGCTAACTGCTCGGTACCGCTGTGTATGGGGGATATCGCACGTTGTGTGCTACGAGGTTTGATATGCCTGTAGAAAGAACGGTATATTTTTATACCGTGCTAATATTTCACCAGTCTTGTAAGTTAAGTGCCAGTCCCAAGACAATCTAACGAAAGGCCTTTATGACGGGGACCTCCATACTATTTCTGTTGCACTCGTCGGGACTCGTATCTGTTTCACCGTCAAATTCACTTTGAGGGTATTCCGTCAGCGTTCCCTGCTCTACCGTGCACCAACTGTCAGAGCCACTCCCCGATTGTCCTCTGAATATTATTGTTACTAGTATCACAAATTCCCCATTAAAACGACTAGCGTGCATTACAACCTCCGCAAGCGATGCCTCGATTGTCTTATCGCCTAACATCACTGCCATTAGTCGTGAATTTTTCTCTTGTAATTATCGTTTCACGCATGTCAGGTGTCGATTTCGAACTGATCCGTATTTTGGAACATTCCATCTTTAATTCCAAACGAGTATTCATATTAATGGCTCATACTCGCCAACGACATGCTTAGATGATTAGCAAGTGAATCAAATTTCCAAAAATTTTGTTCTAATCTCACCTGCTTATGCATTACTTGTCTTTTCCGTCTATGCACAGGCTAATGTCAAAGAAGTCATTGTTTCTATCCCCTCAGCACTTACCACAAAGTTCGTCGGAGACCAAGCCCCTAGTCTGCGTTCGATCTGCGAGCAATGTTCCGGTGTACATATGCGATTTTTGAATCCTCGCCAAAAGAACCCCCGCAACACGAACCAAGTAGAAGTTGTCATGCTGGGCCCGCCGGACGAGTTGGCAAAAGCACAGAAGCTCTTGGATCAGTTGAACGCCAAAGTTGCACAGCTGTGTGCTGAGGCAAGTCACTTCTGCTCAGCCATCTAGAAATGTCAGATACCGCATCTCTAAATGTAATCAGCATGCTCCACCTCAACCCAACGACCACTATGCCCATCTAGCTCAAGTCGCATCTGCTCTCCTTTTCAGGATGGCTTATCAGTGCCCAAAAATGTGGGTTGCGCTCCCGCTAGTGATCCCTTAAATTTTGCGTTTTAGTTGCTTTGAAATGACTCAACCCGTTCGTCCTATCGACAGAGCTATGAACGCGTCGACTAGGTCTACCTGTGAATGCAGGCGGACGTAGTCTGCGAACACAGCTTGGTGATACATATGCGTGCGTGACACGCGATCCCGCTGTCGTACACAGACGTTTTGGGGTTCTGGTTCATGGATACCAGACTTCCCCGTTCACATACATTCCATAATCGCTCGTAGCCTCAGATGGCTGTGACCGTGGCGACAAACCGTGTGTGGAACACGTTCATCCCCCCTCGTACGTTCTGTTGTTCTGGGTGTTTTGAGGTCAGCTAAGTGTTCGCACTGTCATCATTAGGGTTTGCGTAGCTGGGATCGTAATCAATCATCTTATCGGGTTTGACCCTTCTTCCTATATTGTTTATCGACAGTGCTGTGAACGCGTCGACTAGGTCTACCTGTGAATGCAGGCGGACGTAGTCTGCGAACACAGCTTGGTGATACATATGCGTGCGTGACACGCGATCCCGCTGTCGTACACAGACGTTTTGGGGTTCTGGATCATGGATACCAGACTTCCCCGTCCACATACATTCCATAATCGCTCGTAGCCTCAGATGGCTGTGACCGTGGCGACAAACCGTGTGTGGAACACGTTCATCCTCCCTCGTACGTTCTGTTGTTCTGGGTGTTTTGAGGTCAGCTAAGTGTTCGCACTTTTATCACTAAGGTTCGATTTGCTGAGAGTGTTTCAAGTGGTTAGTCCTGATTGGTGGTTCGTCGTGTTTGAAGTTTTCATGGATGCGCTGTGTGAAATGTTTTCTTTTTTGGGTTTCCGCAGTCGCTTGTGGCGTTTGGTTATAGCGGTGGGCATGCTTGAGAGGCTTTACGTTTATCGGCTTACTGGAAATTGGGATTTCGTTGAATCATTTATCTCAGTCTGACCATTTTTTGTAGTTTCAGTCACCGCGACTGTCGTCTTACGTCGTTAATTGTCTTGTTCTCGACTGGGTTTCAGGAGTTGGTTCACGTGGACCCCAAATTCCATGGATTCTTGATTGGTCGCCAAGGTTCCAATATCATTCGGTTCCGCGAACGACACAACGTTGAGTTACTGTTCCCCGATCGTATGGAAACTGATCCCAAACTTTCCATGGAAATCCGAATTGTTGGGACCAAGGATGGTGTTACCGCCGCGAAGGCGGATTTGGAGGCGCTCATTAAAACTATTGTAAGTTACCTTTCACTGACCAATCAGGTTATCAGTTCAAGGACTAAGTAGCAGTCAGAATATTCGTGCGGCGGTACAGCATCCGTTTTGCTGGTGATGATGGATCACTCGAATTGGTCTTCTCATGTGCTTTTCCTGGAAGAGAAATTTATCAATCTACTTTTGTGTGCGAGGAAATAGTACTTATGAAGGACTGAAAATTTTCAAGTGTGCATCTCCATGTTCTTACGGGCTGACGACCGTTTTTCAGCTTGAACCCTCTGGATAGCATGATGCTGACTACTTTTTGACCAAATAAATGCGTATTATTTGTGCATCTTGTCCGGATACGACCTATATTGTCCGACTACACCAGCTGAGTGGACCCTAGGATTGGCGTTGGATTTCACTGAGGTATGTGTTTGCTAGCACCCGTTGACGAAATCGTTTAGAGAATCATGTCGAGCATGGTTTCCTACGAGTTAGGTGACAGTAATGAGTGAATCATTGCAGTCCTAATCAACAACTGAACGGTTGGATATCATGTGTAAACATAACTTTGTGCTTGCACTGCGTGTTGAGGAGATCCCTGGATTTTAAGCATTCGTTCTTTTCATCAGGTTCCATGTCCAACTAACAAATTTGCGAAACTTAGATACGCTGAGTGTTCAAAACCCCTTTTGATCAAGAACGATGTGCCAATAATGAAAACACTGCTCAGAACCGAGTCTAAAACACGAACCATCGCATTCTGCACACTTGTTTCGAACGATTGCCTGATAGCTATCTTTCAAAGCAATCGTACAGTTAAACGATGTTTCCAAACGCATGCTTGTATATTACATTGATGTCTGCACTATCATCCGACTTCCCAGTAGAATCACTTGGTACTCTCATCCCCCTTGTTTTTGTCCTCCAGGAAGATGAGGTTGAGCACAGTGTCGCCGTGGACCCAAGTGTTTTACGTGATATACTCAACTACCGCCGATCCTTCACATATCCAGACCTAGAGCGGGTGCGGGTTATCATGCCCAAAACCATCGGCCGGTCAAGTGAGGAAAATCCTGGTGTTCAGGGCGAGAGTACCGTAATAAAGCTCATCGGTCAGAAGGCCTGTGTTGAGGTAGGTGCTTTCTTTTTGATTTCTACAGAGGTTTTCCCCGAATGAGTGCTAGTTATAGATCAAGGATATCTTTCTAATTTTCCCCCTCGCACACTAGCTTGAGGATAGCCGACGTGACTGAGACCCTCGGATCTGCCACCACTGAGACCCTTGCCTTCAACCAGCTAAATAATTAGCAACAAAATTGTAACCGCTAGTCCGTGGTGCATATCGAAAGCTGACAATTTTTATGACAGATTGCCACAGGTTCTGATGATCAGTGGAGTCAAGCAGATTTCGAGATCGACTAAAACGACTATTGTCGGTTGTTAGAAAGAGTGGCGCGATTCCTGCACTTATCGAAAAGTGAGGATATGACTGATGCGACCTCGGCCAGGATGAAACGACTGCTTGACCGTTGATCCGTAATTCAGAGACGAGATGGCTCAGTGGCTAGAGCGCGAATTTACCAACCAGAAGGTCCGTGGTTCGAACCCGACCTCTGCCCTTCGACTTCCCCTGTCTAGGCTTGAGTAACCTGGTAGTATCCCAGCTTCCTTAAGTTTGGCACGAATCTTACAACTACCGCTGTTTCAACTTCAGAACCATGCTTTCCTGTTTACATAAATACCACATGTTTTTTCCTTTTCCATTACCGACTACCTCGTTGCTTCAATCGCGCCTTATCATCCCCTTTGTACTAGGCGGCTACTCAGGCACTACAATCCCTGATCAGTGATGTCAAGGAACAAGTCACCAAAGAGTTTCCCCTTTCCGACCCCAGCCAGTTCATAGTCCTTGATCGTGCTCGGTCGCAATTCCGCGAAATGGAGCGCAATCACCGTGTCTTCATCAACCTTCCTCGAACAATGCCGAATGCACAACCGGATACGAGCACTTCGGCAGGTGAGCTTTCATTATATAGGTCGAAGAACTGGTACATGTAGGTAGCACATTTTAGCTCTTGCATCTGACGTCATTCGTTATCCGTTTCTCATTCAGTCGATGCATCTTCGTGTCAGAATTAATTTATGTTATTTCTTGCTGTTTTCGGTATTTTCAGCGTGTCTGCTCATCACCGGTCGGCCCGAACAGGTTGATTTGGTGTTCGAGGAGGACATCAAACCCATCCTCCCAGTGGAAGAAGAATTTCCATTGGCCAAAGAGTTCCATCGCAGTCTGATTACTGTCCCCACAACAGAACGTGAGCGACCCAGACGAGGCGCTCCTCGGGGGCGACCGCAAAGTGATTCACTGGATGAGGTTGCTGCTTCCGAAGGACAGTCCAAGGCTACTGAGCTGAAACAAAAGCATGGGGTAATTCATTGTCTGTTTCTCCCATAGACTGCATTATTCGATACTGGTGTCCGTCATCTTTCAACCCCCGATGTCTGTTCTCTTACTTCAGGTTCTTATTCGCCTTCCTCCGCAAGCCACCGATACCAACTGTGTGTTTCTCCGCGGTACTCCTAGTCAGATAACCGCAGCGAAAGCTGACTTGACCGAATGGGTGGAACAATGCGAAGCGCTCAAAGCCGACCGGATCGCAAGGAGCTATGAGCTAACCGTGCATGTACCCACTCGTTTTATACAGTCAATCATCGCACTTCGACAAAAGCTAACCGCAACTCATGACGTTGCTATGCGTTTTGGTGCTGATTTACCACCAGTCTCCTCGGTCCCTGATGGTTCCGAACAATTGCTTGTAAATGGATCAGCCCATCCTGAAGATCCAGTGGAAGATGGTGAAATAGAACCCCCTCCTGAACAATACATCCCTACACCCGATAAGGCCCCTGTACCAGATGAAGAGCGGCTTAGTACCGTCATCTTCCGCGGCTACCAGGAACGAGTCGCTGCCGCCAAGGAAGAGTTAGAAGCTGCCATCGCCAAACTTAAATCTCAGGTCACGGAAGCCCTGTGTATACCAGCAGAGGTCAGTGTTAATGTGCTTGAAACTCTCCCAGTAATCCAACAATGTTCCACGAAATCTGTTCGTTGTTTTCCTCATGGTCAATTTAGCACCCAGACTTCAGGCCAATGAACATCATGTGAGAACCAGACTGATAGCCATAGTATTCACGCTACTATCTGTCATTATCTCGCTAAGGTTGGTCGATCATTGTGTAGGCGTCTCCAGGCTTTTGACCACCCATTTTTGAGTGGTTCACATCGCTTATGCTCGGTATGATTTTTGTCAATGGGTTTTCATTCCTCCAGCTCGATAGAGCCATGTCTTGTATCACGTGCTTGCATTTCCAGTGGCATTTCTGCATCGTTTGTCTCGATTATTGCATATCCAGGTCCATTCCATATTGATCGGTTCCCGTGGCTCCGCAATCCAGAAGGTAATGCAGGAGTTCAGCGTACATGTCGAGTTCCCTAATCGCCAAGCGCGTGAGTCTGGTGATGCAGATACGGTGCTTGTGTCTGGTGATCAGGAGAACGTGGATCGCGCCTGTGACTTTCTAATCGCGAAAGCGAACGATCTGGTAAGTCAACGAATGTGTAGTTGTGCGTGAAGGTCACTCCTTTTAGGGTCCGCCTGTCAATTCCACGGGTTTCTGTTTACTCTCTGTAATGGCCACTCTTAGAGGCAGTCTAATCACGCTGTGCGAATGTAACAGACGATGTAACCTCACGATCACATGGCAGGAGTCTTAGCTTCATGGATGACTGCTTTACGCGCATTATCCACTTTATTCATAGCTTTTTGGAGCGTCCATTACATGTCCGTTTGGAGAGAGCCGTACATCCACTTTAGAAATTGGTTCATCTTTCCGTCTAACTAATAGCCCTAATTTCACGTCACTCTGTTGAAGATGGGGGGGGGGGCGAGATGACTCAAGTGGTTAGAGCGCGAATTTACTGACGGGAAGGTCCGTGGTTCGAACCCGATCTCTGCCTCTCGACTTCCCCTGTCTAGGCTTGGGCAACCTGGCAGCTAGGCACCGGAAGGGTGTTACAGCTGAACGAATTTCGCTGTTGAAGATAATTAATCATGGTACAACTCACATCCTGTTTGAAGGGCCATGGGAGTAGGGACAACTTGTGTCGGTTTATTTAACCCACTGCAACCAATCTAGGTGGCACTGACCGCGAAAATGAGGTGATTCATATTTAGCAAGTACATATCCATCTGCGACATTGTCCAGTTGCAAACTCTGCGCGTGCAGGTACGATTGAGTTGAGTAAAAGTGGAGGCGGGTGGTTTGATTGTTCCTAGTAAGGTCCATCATGGTTACCCAGGGTTGGAATGCATGCGGGATTCAGAACGCAGCAAGTGAATTTCTTATCCTTTTTGGAGAGCACTTTGACGAAATTCGTAAACGAGAGCTTCCCCTGGGTCCCCCATGGGTGTACCGTCGGAACCATATTTCAGATAAGTCTAACTGTCCCCTCCACCTGTTTCATGTTCTGATCTGATGAGCGGATTTCGATAGAGAATTCAACGGGTGAGACAGTAGCAGTATATTTTCTTTCATCTTTCACTTGTAAGATCTCTATAGTGTACTGAAAAACGTGGTACAATTGTAGAGCTAAAGGCATTAGTTCTGCTGAAATAAAATGCGCCCATGGAGATAGGTTTCATTCATTTCTGTGGATTATGGCAGCTGAGCGCCAGTATGCCTTACAAATGTGTGGGTGGCAGTGACGACAAGTTCCCGGAATTCTTTTTTGACAATGAAAATTATTAGGCTACAAACAACGAAGAATGAGGGCGAGATGCGTTGCAATGCGCAACGCACTCCTTCTTTAGCTTTACTGAGCTGTCAGTTTCATCGGTAGAGGAGGGTAGTTTGCAGTGAGTCGGAATCTTGGTGATACATTTGTTTGACACCGTCCTTTCTGAGGTTCGCGTCCATCTCCAAACATGTTCTTTCCCACTACATCGCGTTTCATCCACCACTCGTGTGTCTTTTCGGATGTCTGTCGTGTTCGCGCGCTTTATGCTCATTATTTCTTCATATCAGTTTCGGACTAAGTGTAGGGCATGTCCGCTACGTTGCTGCGCTGTTCACCGCCAGCGACTCACTAGACATGCAAAATTATTAGCCTGGATATAGCTCCTAGCGGTTTCTGATCGTTGGGTTTAAGTCCAAGCAACAGTTTATGCTGTGCATCTCTGCCGCATATTGCACCTACGCTGGTCGTAGGCGAACTGCCGCGTACAGGTTCATCGGATATTTCCCCAAATACGTTGTTTCTCACCTGCTGCTTTCACCCACGCCTTTTTGTCCAACTTTGTATACACCTGTTTACTTGTGCGCTCCGGTCCCTGACACGTGAAAGTTCATCTTGGGTGATGAATAGTCGCAGGGATTGATTTGTATTGTAGCAGGACCGTGCACTTGAGGGCATGACAAAATGACTATCCACAGCAGTTCTGTAAGAAATGCTTATCAGGAAATTGCAATATAAGGGAATGTTGGTAGCTCAGGTAGCGTAGATAATCGTTGGTTTGTTCGCTGAGCTGAGCAGTTTGATTGCAAACTAACGACCACCCGTGCTCTTGGGAGGAAAACTGTTCATTGAAAAAGAAATCGTCTCTTCATTGGAATAAATATAAATCCTCTTCTTTTCCTGTAGATTGTCCGTTTAGACTCGGAAAATCGGAACACACGACAAAAACAGTATCGTGAGGAACTTCTCCCCGCCAACGGAACCCTGCCCAAACCCAGTGATCATTTACGAGCGTGATTTCCTGCTTGCGGACTCGGAACTCCAGAGGTTTGGTTTACTGACCACAACAATACTGAAATTGCCTCCTCTGTTTCGTGCCTTATTATTTTTTTCACAGTCTCTTCTCTGTCGGTTGCCCCGTTCGTTCCGAACATAGTTCCAAATTCGAAAACAAAACTAGTTTCAAGCGAAAATCTTGTATTTGAATTTTTGTGTACAACATTCAATATCTCGACAGTTCTGTCCCTCCCCAGACACCATTGGGTTTTTCAGACTTCCTTATGCCCCACTTCAATCGATAGCTTCACAACGAAGGTGTGACCTTGTTTGTGAGGGACATATTGATAGCTGCTGCAACGTTCCTACGTTTACTCATGTGATGGACCAGTGGGCTCGACGTATCTGCCACCCGCTTGTCCTATTCGGGGCCTTCGTTCTGATGATATACCGTTATTCCGATTCCTTCGATTGTCGCGTTATTTTTTGAAGTGTGTTTGTATGTGGGTGCTTCTTCCTTGCCACTTATCCTACTGTCAAGGGCACCCCGGCGCTCGTCCAACGCACACTGCTGTCAGCGTCTTTTATGCGAATGTTTGGTGGATGTCTTCATCTTGTGTTTGTTTCTCTTCTGATTTCCGGTTCACTTTTGCAATACATTTATTAATGATCCCCTGACTTACCGGATGAGTCAGCTACGTGGATTGGCGTAAAGTTCGCTCTATTGTGTCACCTTTCGATTAACAGCAGACAGACTTTCAGAGACCAGGTTGCTGCATCTGGTGTTTGGAGGCACAGCGTAGAGACCGTGCTGACGAACAATGTCCGTAGCTTCTTGGTCTCGTTTGGATGTAATGATAATAATAATAATATAATAATAATAATAAGGAGCTAACGAAACAATCCACCCAAATTGTTGATACTTTTCGTCACGTAAGTTGCCCAATGACCCCAGAGCGACATTGACGTGCAGATAACGTGGTAGGTTCTTCAGTTCCGCTCGACAGTGGACATCACTAATTTATTCATCCCTATCGCGTTGCCCCGATGAGTTATATATGGAACCAAGCAGCTCATTTGATGGTGCAAGAATGAGCTAATCAAAACAATCAACCCAAATTGTTGATACTTTTCGTCACGTAAGTTGCCCAATGACCCCAGAGCGACATTGACGTGCAGATAACGTGGTAGGTTCTTCAGTTCCGCTCGACAGTGGACATCACTAATTTATTCATCCCTATCGCGTTGCCCCGATGAGTTATATATGGAACCAAGCAGCTCATTTGATGGTGCAAGAATGAGCTAATCAAAACCAAGTTGAGTTGGGTGGACCCGTAAACAGTTCTCTTAGGTGGGTTTCGTCCTTACGCCGACTAAAAGGACACTTCATCGGAGTAGTGCTTACTGAGCATCAGTCGGCTCTTGTTATTTCAAACTGGCCAAGGTAAATGGTCCGAATCCCTGGGCCCCTTAGCTCTGTGTGTACGATGGCACCCACTACCGCACTCATTTCATACGTGAGCAGTCACAACAAAACACTAACATATGATACTGTGCAGTAATGTCCCCCAAGGGATGACCTCTGGAGGATGCATAAGTGCGTTCCCGCTAGGTATGATTTAGCGCGCAGCCTTTTCCGGAGGCTCCATGGTTTCGTTTGAAGTCATCGCTTTGTACGAAGTGTACGTGCACCCTGGAACGCCAAGGATGAACTCAGCTCTTTCACATTTCTCCCTTCGTGTGTCCTGTGACCAGAAGCAATGACTCGTGGAATATATGGCGTGAGAGTTGCACTCAGCCCCAGAGCTGAACGCGCTTTGCTGGATTGGATACCAGTGAACAGTCGTCTTTGCGCCGTCCGGTTATCCAGTTCAATCAAGCTCAATGCCTCGCGGCATAAAAAGCGGTGCCTGTTTGTCGTGTCGGCTTATGCCTCAACAGACTGCAGTTCTGATGCGGAGAAGGATACTTTCTATCGAGAGCTATCCGGGCTCATTCGTCAGGCAAAAAGCACTGACATTGTGATCCTTGCAGGCCATATGAATGCTCAAGTAGGTCGTCTGAGCTCCTCGGAATGACATTTGGGTGGCCTATTCGGAGTCGATGCTCGCCGCACAGACAACGGAGATCGACTCCTTCAGCTGTGTGCTGATCACGAACGGTTTCTAGCAAGTACGAACTTTCAACATAAACGTTCGCACCGCGTAACCTGGCGGCCGCCAACTACAAATCAACCCTGGACCCAGTTAGACCATGTGGCCGTCATCCACCGATGGAGAGCCACAATTCAAGACTGCAGTTCCTTCTGGGACACAACTGTTAGCTGTGGCATTGAAGGTGCTCTCTGGTCTCATCCTTCAAGGGTTGACTGAGCACAGTGGGAGACAACCATGAAAACCAAGATGCATCGGCCATATATTCAACCTCCGACAAATTCTGGAACAGCGACACTGCTTCCAGCAACCAGCAATGGTTGTTTTTCTTGATCTGGAAGTTGTCTTTGGCTCTGTGGACCCTCAGGTACTATGACGGTGTCTGCGGAGCAAAGATGTCCCCCATAAATTCTTGGCCCTCCTTAAGGCGATGTACGCCAACTCCCGCGGCCGCATGAAGGTCTACGGGAAGCTCTCGCCTGAGTTCACCACATTAACTGGTGTCCGACAGGACTGTCCTATTTCACCTTCCCTTTTCAACTTCGTCATGGACGCGGTCATTGAATACTCACTATCAGTCTGTAATGCCTGTGTGGTCGAAGTGTTCCCTGAGTGTCCGCCCGCAAACATAGAGTACGCAGACGACATAGCTCTTCTTGGATCTGACCCCGTGGTAATGCGAACAATATTAAATACTCTAACTAATTCTGCCTCACGCTTTGACATGCGCTTCTCACCTGCAATCTAAAGTGCTACTGCAAGACTGTGTGGGCTCGAACCCTACCCTAGTGCTTGCGAATGAATCGATTGAAGTAGTAGACAAGTATGTTTACCTGGGCAGCTGTCCAGTCCCGGTGGTCTCGCGAAAAATGTTATTCCCATCCGGATTCGGATGGCCGGAGCGGCTTTCGTGAACCTGCGTCACCTGTGGCGTAGGCGTGACGTCAGCTTATCCGTCAAGGGTCGCGTTTACACTGCCGTTGTGCGCTGAAGACGTCAAAAAACTTTCAGTGCTTGACCATCAAAGTCTTCGAAGCACTACCCGAGTCTGGTGGGAACCTCTTTTCGCACAACCACTTGAAGGGTGGAAGAGAGCCAGAGGAGGTCAATGACTTGGCTGCGAAGTATAAAAGCCATTACCAGCAAACTCAATTGCGCTGGTCATTGCCGTCTTCCTGGATGGGGACCCCGAGACGGGCTACATAAATGGTTGGAGACATTGTCAGATATGACTCAGTCGCACCCTCAATGGCGCCTTCAACGCATAGCACCCTTCCCAACCCCCCACTTGACAGTGCTGTATTTACGCAGTTTTTTATCAGTTCCCGCCTCCAATGCGCAGCTATCTCCCCCATCTCCCCAAATCAACGGTGATCATCATCAAAAACAGCAACGTCAGTGTTGGCACTAATGCTTCACTGCCGTACAACCATAAGGTTCGTCTAGTAATATATATATTAT